GCATAATAATATCCATTTCAAATCTATAACAGAACTGACGACTTAGTTACCGAAATGCACATATGACATCCCTTCATGCCATTACAAATTGCCACGTAAAAAAGTGTCTTTCATTGCTAACTAAACTTCGGAAAACATTTTTGATTGCTCACTATACTTTGAAAAATATTTACGATTGTTCACTGAACTTTGAGATGGCCGAATTTTGGTCATTAAACTTGCATCTAAATTTTTTATTTCACAAGGGTTGAGTAGATAGTTTTGCATCTAAATTAAGGACATGTTTGGATGGGATTCGTAAACCGTCCAAAAATAAACAAACCCTTGTTTGAGCTCCGTTTTTCAAAACTTATTTTCAACTGTATAATCTCAAATAAAATAATTTTACACGTAAATCGAAAAAAATTCTTACTTTTTAATCACACATTGTCTAAAAAAAATGCAATTCAAAAATACTTTTTTTTTCCCAAATTGGAGCTCAAACAAGGGCTTATAAATAAAAATTAGCGATAAAAAATGGATAAACTAGAAAATGTGATTACTATTGTGAAAAAAGAGAAAAAGAGAAGAGGGAATAAAAATCAATAAACTTGTGTGTATTATAAAGAGAACCAAAACCCTATATTTATAGGGCAAAATTATGGATAAAATAATAATAGTTTATAGGGGACTGCAGGAGTACAATTGTCATTTATTAATAAACTTAACATTTACAACACTTCGTCTTGAATGACGCATTACAAAATATCTGTCTTATTAAAACCTTGTTTGATAAAAATTTAATGGGACAAAAAATCAAACGAAAGAAAAAAAAAATACGGTTATTTTGAAGTATTAAATATGAATGCTGACTCATTAAAACCTTATTAGGCGAGTGAGATAAAACCTTGGCGAAGGAAAAATAGTACAGCTACTTTCCCTAATATTGATCACTAAAAATTTTTGAGTCGATGCATTCTAATCTTGTGAACCAATTTTTTAAATGTAGATGTTGAAAGTGCTTTTGTAAATAAATAAGTCACATTGTCACTTGAACGAATTTGTTGAAAACCGATGTCATCATTATTTTGAAGCTTATGTATATGAAAGAATTTTGAAAAAATATGTTTCGTCCTGTCACCTTTGATATATTTTCCTTTGAGTTGTACAATACGAGCGGCATTGTCTACATACAAAATTGTTGTGCTATTTTTTGTTAAAATTAATCCGCGTGATGCTTGGATATAACGTGTCATGTTCCTCAACCATACACATTGTTGACCTGCTTCATTGATTGCAATAATTTGGAAATAATTTGAGGATGTTGCTGTTATAGATTGCTTCACATATCTCCATGATATAGCAATTCATCCATGTGTAAACACGAATCCAATTTTTGATTTAGTTTTATGTGGGTC